AATATAAATATTTAGGTACCATATGATTTTAGAAACAATTTAAGGCAAACATTTCTTACCATATTTTTAAAATATCTTGTTACTTTTAAATATATCTCTTGGCTATTTCTATTCTTTCTATCATTCAGCAACTGTCTACAATTTTGTTGCTGTTACAACATCTGGCATTTCACTAACTTAAGTATTTCAGCTAGTTATGCACTTTAAAATTCACAACGGAGCATAATAAGCATTCTTTTTCATGTTTGTTCATAAAGGACAGAACATTTAAAAATACGCTTTAAGGGAGCTCTGGTGTCCTAGAGGCAAGAAGCTGCACTGCAATCCCAAAGGTGCATGGCTCAAATCTACTAGATGCTCTGCTGGAGAAAGAGGGACAATCTCCTCCTGTACCAGTCAGATTCGATTTGACAGTACACACACACACACAATAATAAAACGAAAAAATTAAGAAAATATATGTTTTAGCTACTGGATCTTTTCTTTAGGCACAGATCCTTGATTTTCACAAATTAATATAAAGTATTTCATTTGAGAAGACGAAACAGATAAATTAAGATGAATTTAACAGATAAAGAAAATGACTAGGATTAAAAAGAAATAACTGGATCAGAATCTGTCAACAAATTTGAGGTAACAAGTAAAAGGGAATTTAATTCCTTTTCTTTCCTAATCAAGAAATTAGAAATCAAATTCATCCTTTCCTTCATATTTATAACTATGGTGATTTTAGCAATGTGAGACTAAATTTTCTTCATAGGTTTAAGATAAATAAAGCAATTTCAATATTTTTTTTAAAAACTCTGAAGTCTATTCTAGTTTCCATGTACCATTTTGAAGTATATAATTTAAATATACAATGTAATAGACAAGACATATCTAAAACATTTTGTTTATAATAGGAAGCAGTGTCTCTCCTCACTGTCCTGTAACTACCACTCAGATCATGAAACAGAATATTATTACCACATGGGATCTCTCAATCTCACTTCAGAATAATTAAACTAGTCATTTTACTGGTTTCCCGAATAATTCAAGGATCTGAAAACAATTCATACTCATTTACCTTCCACTTCACTTATATGTTATTGCTGTCATGATTTTTAAAAGCACTACTGGACATATTTTACTACTGGCTTGTTTAAATACAGTTGTTTACCAATTTTATTATATACAAGCACAGTTATATACCATTTTTATTTAATTTTATCTACAAATTTTATCTGAAATCATCACTTTCCTCCACCAGAAAAATTTCCTTTATGATTAATCATTAATTAGTTTGCTAATGAAAAATTGTATTTCTATTTGTCCAGACATGTTTGTTTCAAAACATTTAACTCTCTGGCTTCAATAATAGACTTTCTAGGTAATTATTTTCTTGTAGTACAATAAAAATACTACTGGACTGTCCTCTGAGATCTACTGTTACTACTGAGCAATCAACTGGCAAATTATGGATCTAATTAATGTCTTTTCCACTCGGTGGTTGTTTTTAAGGCATTCCAATTGTCTTTGTTGTTCTCTATTATATATCTAAGCGAAGATTTCTTGTTTGGCTTCCTAAATGCAGTGTCTCTCTCAGTTCAGGAAATTTTCAATTACTATTTCTTCAACATGACCTCCGTTTAATTCTCTACCTTTTCTTTAAATCTCCAGTTAAGTGTAATAGACCTTCTTACTATACCTTCTCTATTTCTTAATAACTCTTCTCTATTTTCTATTCTTTTACTGACTTTGTTATAGTCTGATAAATTTCTTCTAATTTATCTTTATGTATTCTTGCTTCAATTGTGTCCACCCTTTTGCCAGGCCTACTAACTTAGCTTAATTTGTAATATTTTTCCAAAATTTTATTTGGACATTTTTCAAACAAGCAGTGTCATTCTATAATAATAGCATATGTCAAAAACGTGAAGAAAAAATTGCTTATCTGCTTTTAAAAACTCTCAAATAATTTTCATTGGCTCTTAATAAATTTATTACAAATTTTAAAAAGAAACATAATTGTAGACAGGTATCAGGAAAGAATGCAATTATCTGGTTTCAACAAAAGCCTTCCAGCTATTACATTAGTAGTCAATACTGGAAAACAATTTTGCAAGCATAAAAAATTATGTGTTTTTACTTGGATATATGACTCTTTAGAGTTATCTTTTTCAACTATAACAGCTTTTAAAATGGGAGTATGCAAACTGTGATACATATTCCCATTATTACATTCAAAAATTTATGTGCATCATGTAGTAAACTGTCAATCGAATGTAGAGGTTTTGTCTTTAGGTTTGTATCTCTAGGATTTTGACTAGACGGCATGCAGTAAATAACTCTATCAGTACTTAGAGAGTAAATGACCTAAAATACAGTCTATTAAAGATGTGTATTTGTTAGGAAATTCCGGTGGCCTAGGGACAAGAAGCTGCACTGCAATCCCACAGGTACGCGGCTCAAATCCACCAGATGCTAAAAAAAAATAATAATTAAAAGATGTGTATTTGTATCTTTATCACCTAATGAACAGATGGGACACAGTGAACATTAATGACTGAATACTTGAAGAGTTGTGGTATGATATCAAAGACATTAAATATGAAAAAAACAAAAAGTCAATTAAAAACAGTAAAGAAAGAAAGATCAAAATGGATATGAGAAGAGACTATGAACACAGAAGAGCTAAAAAAAAAAAAAGGGAGCTAAGATGAAGGAAAATTGCTGAACAGAAAATTTCAAATGATAGTTAAAGACAAGTAAAATATCATAAGGAAATGTGCAGAGACCTGAAGTTAGAACTAAATGTGAAGAAAACATTTAGCTTATTTCAAGCTGAAAGAACTTAAGGGGGAAAAGCTGTTATCAGTGGGAGTTAGTAGGTGCTGTCTCAGGACCTCTAGGGGTCTAGTCTGTAGGGAGACGCACTGCTTCCACAAAGGTGGTGCTTCAGACCTACCACTGGCTCAGTGGGATACAGACGGGCAAGCTCCTCCTACATGATTTACTGTTTCCTGAGAACCCAGAGGAGGACCAGCTAGGAGTACATTCCAACTAGATGGCAATGAATGAGTGTGAGTGAGGTGGTGCCCAGTCAATACCAACTCATAGTAACTCTTACGCATAAAGAACAAGACTGTCAGTCGTGCACTATCTTCACAACTGTTGCTATGCTGGACCACTGTTGTAGCCTGTGTCAGTCTATAAAGCCGAAGGCCTTCATCTTTTGTTCACTCTCCCTTTTACCAAACATAAGGCCCTTCTACCAGGGGCAGGTCCCTCGAGATAGTAAGGACACGTGAGACAAAGTCTCACCGTCCTCACTTCTAGAGGTCATAGATCATTCTGGCTGTACTTCTTTCAAGACAGACTGAGGAGTCCTGGTGGCACTTAATAATAATAATAATAATAATCAGTTATAAATCAGTTTTCAGTTGCTAACCAAAAGGTCATCGTCACTTCCCAAGAAAAACATGCGTGCCAGTCTGCTTCAGTTAAGACTACAGCTTTGGAAGCTCACTGGGGCAGTTCTCCTGTCCTGTCGAGTTACTGGGAGTTGGACGGACTCGACAGCTGTGAGCATTCCTGACTATCCACAATACACCTATTAAAAAAATTCATAGCTAGTGCTCCAGTGGGTTTTCACATGGGAGGAGACTGATCGTCTTTCTCCAACGAGGAGCTGTGCTTTCAAATTCCCTGCCTCTGGATTGGTGGTGCAACTCCTTGCCCACCAACCACTTACCTGAAAATGAAGCAAAATTAACAAAAGAAATGTTTCCATAAAAGTAGGTAAATGCCATAGTAAAAATAAAATATTACTTTAAAAATAATCAGTTATAAATAAATAAATATATATATATATATATATATATATATATATACACACACATACATACACATGAATTTCAATAGTAATGTGATAAGTACTTAGTATAGCAAAATTTTTACCATGGCATACATTTTTCTTTTATTCTATACTCAATAGTATATATTATTTTCCATTAATATATTAAATTCCGTTTTATACTCCAATTAAAGAAGTTCATTTTATGATTTAATTTGAAGAATGGCATTATATATACATATATATTCTGCTAGTATACCAACTAATTACACCTTTAAAATGAAAAGTTAAGAGAAAGTCAGCAAGATAAAATAGAACAGCTGCTCTTTTTTTTTTTTTTTAAACGGGGGCTACCAATCTTCTGTGTTCAAAGCCTATCTATTGTATTCCTGACAAGGCATTACAAGTACAGCACTTCGTTTAAGAGCATAAATGGTGCAAAAGGGAAGATATTGAAAATAAAGCAGTAGTACTTCTGAAAATGGTATCACTAATTTTTTAAAAATACACATTATAAAACTTCCTAGAAAGCTTTACCCCTCACTCCAAGGTTCATCATTAACTGCTGACATGATGATTAAGTATTTAGCTGCTAATGAAAAGCTTGGCAGTTAGAGCCCACGAGCTCTTACACAGAATATTTACAGCCTTGGAAGCTCTCTCCTCTGTCCTATGGGGTCACTATGCATCATAATCAATGTAACGACAATGAGTTTGGTCTGAGTATTATATAATATTCATGGCTGATTGTACTCAAATAGCATTTAAGAAAGTACTACTAGAAGGGAGCTCTGGCGGCCTAGTGGCAAGATGCTGCACTGCAATCCCAGAGGTATGTGGTTCAAATCCACCAGATGCTCTGCTGGAGAAGGAGGGGGCAATCTCCTCCTGTACAAGTCAGATCTGATTTGACGGCACACGTAAAAATAATACAATAAAAATTAAAAAAAAAAAAAAGAAAGTACTACTAGAAGGGAAAAGGTAGCCAGCATACTTAAAAGTATTAGGTGCAAGACTTGGCAACATTTCATTCTACTACACATGAAGTTCATATAAATTGGAGTCAACTTGAAGAAAACAAACTACAACAATATTACTTAAAAGATGAAAACAAAATTACAGTATAGGTCAAATTTAGATGCAAAACTATCCCACTGATACATACCCCTTGGAAATGCCATTAGGCATACATTTATGACCACAAGACTTAGAGGAGAGAGGTGATGAAGTTGGAGATAAGTTGAGTGGGGCAATCAAACTGTTGATGATCTCGGTCAGCTGTGCACTCTGTAAGAAAACAAATCACCTTTTATCAATGCTAAACAAGAAATGTCAGTTAAATCTCAGATCTATCATGTCTGTGAAATATCTTACTTCTCATGAAAACAATAGATGTTTACATTGTACTTAAGTAGTTTAACCTATAAGGATTCTTTTTCCACTACTATACTGATTGTTGTTGTTGTTGTGTGCCATCGAGTCGCTTGCAACTCATAGCGACCCTATGTACAAGAGCCCTAAACTCTCTCTGTCCTGTGCCAATCTGTCTCTGATACACTCTGAAGTAGTTCTTAATTTTAAAATAGTTGATAGTTCATCCTTTTCTACACTTTTTTGTTACAGTTCCTCTCTCTACTCACTTCATCCTCTAAAGAACTTGCATTTAGCTGATAACATCCACATAATATTTCCCTTGAAATAGCCAAATAACACATCATATCTCATTTTATTAAGTGCCTACTTATTCCAAGCAGGGAGTTGTAAGTAGTTTAGTGATAAGGAATTGTGCTGACAATGCAAAGGGACACGTCTTGAAACCACCAAGATGGACAATCTCCTCCTGTGCCATTAACTGTCTCTGCAAACCTGCTGGAGGGTCAGCTATAAGTTGGTTCCAACTAGAGGGTACACAGAAGTGATGTTTCCAGTATCTACTCTTATATCACCATCCCTTATATTAGGCATTAAACGTAACATTATTTTGAATTAGTAATCAGGGAGCTGGCTGGCATTGTGTGCTGTATGTTGTCTTCTTATCTAAGAGATCAACCATTCACATCCACCAGCTGTTCCAGGAGCAAAAGATAAGGCAGTCTCCTCCTTTAAAGAAGATACAGCATGAGAACTCCAAAGGAGGATGACTATGGATGGGAATGAACTTGACAACAGCGGGATTTGTTTCTAGTGGTAAGGAGTTTTGCTGCCAATTCAAAGGCATGTGGTTCAAAACCTCCAGCTGCTCTGTAAGACAAAGATGGGCAGTCCCTTCTCATGCAACTTACAGCCTCAGAAAGCCTGCTATAGGATTAACCATGCATTGGTTCCAACTCCAAAGCACATAATGACAATTACAAAGCAGATAGAATTAGAGTCTTTTATGTTATTTTAATATTAGTAACTGGTAAGAAAACCAATGCAAAGATTATGTAGGTTAATAAAGGTACACAACATGCAATAAAGAATGAATAAATGAATGAATGAAAACTCAACTTTTCTGTAAACTTTCCTTAAAATCACTATTTTTTATTTTATTTTATTATTTTGTGTGTGTACTGTCAAATTGGATCTGACTGGTACAGGAGGAGATTGTCCCTCCTTCTCCAGCAGAGCATCTGGTGGATTCGAACCGTGCACCTCTGGGAAAAAAAAATCACAATTTTTAACAATGTTTTAAAAAAGATTATGTAGCTTGAGAGAAGGCTATAAAGTTGGTAAGAAAAGCAGCTGAGATTTAAATTCAGACTGAATCTAGTGCCACACTGTTCTCCAATATTTTTCATAATTAAAAAATATCGATTATTTTTGGTGCCAAATATTTTTACTGTTCCTTATCCCAAATTAAAATTTATATAAGTATTGAATTAGCCTCATAAAATTCCCACATTATAACAAAGCTCACACAAATATAAGTAGTACATTTCTACTAAAGATTGATAATCATTTTCATTAACTATGAAACTATTGAAGTCATTGCTGACTCATAGCTGACCCTTCACAGAGTTTGATTAAAACACACATCAATCCTATGGGACAGAGTGGAAATACCAAATAGGGTTTCCAAAAGTTTTATGGGGGAGGTAAGCAGCCCCAGCAGGGCAATACATTATGTGCTGGGCTGCTAACTGAAAGGTGGGTGGTTTAAATCAACTAGGCACTCTGCAGAAAAAGACAAGAAACCTCAGAAACCTGATGGAAGGCTGCGATGAGTAGGTGTTTTATGGGGTTGGGGTCAATTTTTCGGAAGCTGGCTGACCCATTTTTTGTCCCTGCAGAGAGGTTGGCTGGTTTGAAATGCCAGCTTTTCAATTAGCAGCTAAACACTTACCACTGGACCATCAAGACTTCTTAAAAGATAAAACCAAACCCACCACCTTCAAGTCAATCAGCTCATGGTGGCCTTCCAATAAGTTTCTGAGGCTAAAACGATGACAAGAGAAGACTATCTCTTCTTTCTGTCATGGAGAGAATTCTCACTGAAGAAATGAAGTGGCCAACCTTCCAGTTAGCAGAGCACATAATACACTCTGCCACCAGGGTATATGAAAGAATTAGTATGACATGTTTTATCTGTATGAAACAAACAATATGCTATTGGAATAACAACACTGACAAAGATGAATCAATTAAACCAAGTATTTGCTTTCAAAAGACTTTCATGAGAAAGACCTGAAATGTTTTCATAGCAGATGATAATTCACATAATATATCCATTTCTAAAAAAAAAATGTGTATGAATGGTTGAATGGAAAAACAACTTGCTTTGTAAATTTTCATACAAGTCACAATAAAAAAGATATTAAAATGTCATTATTCAGCTTTTCTTCAAGATTAAAGCTCATTTGAAAACCATCACAGCAACTGTATCAGATAGATTCTTTTGACCAATTAATAAGTACTCATTAATTTATTCATAAATACATCTCATATTTTCCAGGATACAATAACTCTTCTCACTGAATCGTCTTAAATATATAACGTGAAATCTTTTAAGCCTTGGGAGGGAGTGAGTCAAGCGTGTTTGAATAATTAATTGGTCCATAAGAAAATATATTACAACACTCAACTTTACCCTAACAATCACCCATTGGTCCAGTTTAATAACATATTTAAGGGAGCTCTGGTGGCCTAGTGGCAAGAAGCTGCACTGCAAGACCAAAGGCAAGTGGTTTGAATCCACCAGCTGCTCCACGGGAGAAGGATGGGCAATCTCCCTCTGAGAACCCACCAGAGGGTCAGTTATGGGTCAGCTACGGATCAGTTCCGACTTGATGGTACAGTACAACAAGAACAACAAATTCATAGTGGAGATAAAAAAATTTCCAAGAATGGGAATAAGAAGAAAAAAATAATCAGAAAAGACATAGTTTGAATGCTGAAAATAAAAACCATTTAACAGTTTATCTAAATTTTTCTAAATAGACCATTGGAAATACCCATTTTAAATTACCTTCATTTTACGAACAAATTATTTAATAATGAAAGCACTCATTTATCATGCCTTTGTATTTTAAGTGTTATGCCTTTATCCTATTTTTATACTAAAAACCATAGTTTGGTGGGTAAGCAAAGTACTTCCCTAATAAAACTAATTGAATCAAACCACAGGTTGCCTAGCCTAATTACCTAATCTAGACTTCCACCCTAATCAGTGATCAGTTAAATACTCTAAGAAGAGCAGGCATAATATTTAGGCTTGCAAGCCTTGCCATTGACTCACCCTTTGACTGTCTTTCCCAACAAATATTTGAAAACAAAGTTTAAAAACTTGGCCAATTAAAAATATGATTAGCATATATTTTAAGAGTAGATGGCTCTTAAGGGGCAATTTATTAATGATCTACAAGAGACTGCTGCCACCCCTTCTTGCATCTTTTCCTCCAATGTTTAGAACCACTACTATTATTCTCAAAACTCCCAGCTGCTCTCTCTACCAAAGTCTCTGACATCCTTGTCAGAAAGGAAAACTGAAAAATGAACACACTACAGCACAGTGACAGTGTCATGTGCATAAAAGCTGTGTAGTCATGAAAATATCCACGACAGAAGGGCCTCGAGTTTGGTCTGATGCTCTGCAGTCACTGTCACACCACTTCTAATATTTCAACTGGGGGTTACCCCATTGTATGCTGCACTGTTGTTGTCATGGCGAGCCTGTGAACAACAGACCAGAATCCTGTCCTACGCTGCGGCAATGTCCGCATCCCTGGTACACTCTAGCCCACTGCTGCAGTCACTGTGTGCATCCGTCTCACTGGTGGTTTTCCTATCCTTCACTGACCTTCCATCTTTTCAAGCTTAATGCCCCTTTCTAAGAATAGCCTCTAAAATAAGCCAATTCCAACATGAACCCAGGTCTAGTTAAAAAAACTGGTAGTATGAAGTGTTACTGTTATGTGCTGTTCAGTTGGAATCGACTCATAATTGACCCTCCAGTGGGTTTTCAGAGGCTGTACATCACACAGGTGCACATTACTCATCTTTCTCCTGTGGAACAGCTGGAGGTTTGGAACGGCCTGCCTTGATCTGGAAGCACAACGCCTTACCATCAAGCCATCAGATCTCTCTAGTATCAAGGAGTAGTTGTTTGCCACTGAGCTAAAACCAACCCACAGCTGACCCTCCAGTGGGTTTTCAGAGGCAATAAATTGCATGGGAGGAAATGGTACATCCTTCTCTTGAAGAATAGTTGGTGGATTAGAACTTCATGCCTGCGGGACTACAGTACAACTTCTTAATACTAGGCCACCAAAGGCTCCCCTCAGATTAGTATCAAGTACAGGGGATAAATTTAAAAAATAAAATCTAAAACTAAAAAATATACCCTGGAATTCTATTGCCAATGCAACTCAATTTATTGCCATCAATTCAGAACTGACTCGTAGCAGACCCTCTACCAGGTTTCAGAGCCTGTAAACCACACAGCAGGAGATAAGCCACCTTTCCCTGCACAACCCCCAGGGCGGTGTGGCCTAGGGCTAGCAGTGCAACTTCCTAAGGGCTATACTACCAGAGCTTCCTAGCGAAGTACTGCATAGTACTAGTAATTCATTTAAACAAATCACTTTCCATTGAATTAGCATGTAGAAAAAGTAGATCTGACATAGCAAACAAAGATATAATTCTGGAGTCAAAATCCAGGTCCAACAACGAAGGTCAAATGAATTGGAGGGGAGGGAAAAGAAAAAGTAAGAATATGCTGAATCCTAATTTATAACACTGGTTATATAGGAAAGTACAATTTCATATCAACTAATTACCAACTATGGATCTCAAAAGCATGCAGTTCAAAATTACCACTTGCTCTGTGGGAGAAGGATGGACAATCTCCTCCCCTGTGATTTACTACCTCTAAAAAGTCACTGGAGGGTCAGTTCCAACCTAAGAGCATACAATAACAACAACTACAAAGGAATTTTTTGAGTTTTAACTATTCAATAGCAATCTTCAAATTAACCATTTCCAATTTAACAAGACTGTAATCAATTATAAATTTAAAAAAAAATAGGTTAGGAAGAATTACAGTGTATTTCAACTTTTATGGAGTAAGGTAATATCCTGTTACTATATCTCACAGAGTGCATTAGAAAAAACCAGGAAAATCAGATGTGGGTAGGATGAATACATATCATTTACCACAATGGCAAGCATCAGCACTGGGTAGGTTCTGAAAGGTTCAGTCTGTCTGATCCCAAGATAACAAACTCCTGGAATGCCACATTTGTTCTAGAGTCATCACCATCTAAGACAAAAGAACTGGTTTGATTTCAAAGTCAAGATAATAGATTATAAGAATCAGAACTTCAGTCATCCATTATCAAATATAAATACCAAGGAAGGTAGTGGAATCAAGGCAATTTGTAAAAGTTTCTTTGACTTTCTGTTTGCATTATCAGATTTTATGGGAAGAGAAATCAATATATCAGTATCTTTCATTTAAAAATCTGTTAATAATTAGTCAAGTAACTATTCAGATTTATTTAAAGGTAGAAGATTGAAGAATAATTGATACCTTGGAACTGTGGTGTTGGAGAAGAATATTGAATATACCAGGGACTGCCAAAAGAACAAACAAATCTGTCTTGAAAGAGGTGTAGCCACAGTGCTCCTTAGATGCAAATATGGTGAGACTTCATCTCATCTACTTTAGGCATGTTATCAGGAGGGGCCAAGGCCTAGAGAAGGACATTCTGCTTGGAAAGGTAGGAGGTCAGCAAAAGAGAAGAAGACCCTCAACGAAACGGGGCGGCATAGCGACTGCAACCATGGGTTAGCACAGCACAGACTGTAAGGCTAGCAAAGGATTAGTCAGCCTTGTGCTCTCCTCCACAAGCCAAAGCCAATTCGATGGCACATACACCATCACCACACCTACGCTCTGCCAATTAAAAAGTCTAACAATGAACAAGTTTGTTAGAAAATGGTTTCGCCAACTCTGATCGAAAAGATTCATCACCTTATGGTTATTTATCAATACTTTCCACATTATATTTAAATACCTTAAATTATACCAATATTGTCATAAAATAGCAGTCATATATTAAGTACTTCAACTATGTTTAGTATCAAATGGCTGATTCTAATAACTATCAGCCAGGCAGACACACACGTAATAATGTTCACTTGAACAGCTTATACAGTTCATTAGAAACCATCCCATGTTCCTTGAATACCACACTTAGCTCACAGTACCTGTTTTTCTATGTTTCGAAGAAGTAGTGTAGGGCTGCTAGGTGACATTTCAAAATCTTGTTCAGGTAAAGAATCTTGATTGTTGTGTGAAACCAGCAGACTCCCTGTAGTGTTTAATGTAGCTTCTTGGCCTGCAAATTGGATTTGTTTCTTCAAAATGTCTTTTGGAAGTTGACATTCTTCTAGGATCACTATCTCCTATACAAATGGTAATTAAAGGGTTAAAGTAAAACCAAATTGTTTGCTGAATTCTCTTAAGTATTGAAATACACTTGAAACAATGCTTATTATCCCTTGAGAGTCAGAAAACACATTCTTAAAAGTACAGTTTAACTGTAAAGAGTTTGCTAGCTCAAAACATATAGCTAAAACAAGAAGCCCAGATAACAGGTTGGATAACAGATAACAGGTAAAACACTATCATAACTTCAACAACTTCAGCATTAAAAGCTTAAAATATTTAGAATTAAAATTCTTTTACGCAGAACATGGACATGTCAAACTGAAATCTGGATGATTCTCTAATATAATCTTCTGACATTTGTCACTAGCATATGTACTGTACTCTATTAGGGCTTCCTACTTGAATACTCTCAATTTTAGAAAGTAAAATATAAAAATTAAACAACCTAACTCTACAGTGACAGCCTTAGAACATCCTAAAAGCCCTGCCCCTGTTGATTAATGCCAGCTCCCAACTCTGGGCAGGCCTGCACCATGAGGACTGATACGCTCTAGGCCAATGCACGCTCTTGCTGATTACAAGGGACCTGTGGTAATGGTACCTGCACATGTCTCAACTGCGACAGTGCATTTGGGGCCATTAAAGGAACTGAGGAATGAACAGGACTCTGGCTATCCTGCACTTACACTATACACTTATTCCTCAACTGGCTTCTTCTGATTTCTTCCATGATTCCTCACTTTAACTTACTAACCGGACGCTAAGCGTTCTTGCCTTTAAAACCTTCAGAGGCAATGGAGACAGAAGAGATGGGGCAAAAAGGTTCATATGGACATGATTTTCTTTTAATATGTTAAAAAATTTTCATTTTAAGAACATGTAGCACTCTGGCTTAATGATTTCTATTCAGTTCTCATCATAAAATCCCCTTCTACACTGTCTCTGAAACAAAACAACTCCAACTCACAGCTGTCAAATCAGTGCCAATTCATAGTGACCCTCTATCACGTTTCTAAGTCTGTAAATAATAATGGATGGAGACTGCTCATCTTGCTCCTTGTTCTGATGGATGCAAATCCTAGAAGGTGGGCAGCCTTTGGACTAGTGGCACACTTGTCTGAACTCTGCCCCTGAGAATTCCTGTACCCTGGCTAGTATGTGTTGGGGAGACATAAGTAAAAAGGTATATGGTTGTTTTCATTTGTTGTATAAATATTTCGTTTTGTTCGTGGTTGTACTTTTTTAACTTTTTTTTAAATTTTATTATTTGTATGTGTGTGTGTGTGTGTACCATCAAATCAGATCTGACTGGTACAGGAGGAGACTGTCCCTCCTTCCCAGGCAGAGCATCTGGTTGATTTGAACCGTGAGCCTCTGGGATTACAGTGCAGCTTCTTGCCACTAGGCACCAGAGCTCCCCTCGTGGCTGTACTTTTGAGCCAGAACTGACCCATAGCTGACCGTCCAGCGAGTTTTCAAAGGCAG